ATTTAACATGTACTGATTCACTCTTTTTGTTATCCAAATCTAGCAGTTTGGTATATAAGCTTTTTATTTTAGATATGATATCATCAGGTTCATTGTTAATAGAAAGACAATCATTGCGTTCACAATCTTGTAAACTAATTAATCGGTCTTTTAACTTTTGAATAGCTTGTTGATCTTGCTGTCTGAGTTTATCATATCCTCCAACGATTTCAGAAAGTTCAGCCAATCTTGCTTCTAAGCCCGTTACTCTGGTTTCATGAGTCATTGCTAATACTCTGGCTCGTTGTTCTGCAGCAGTAGCTCGTTTTTGCTCCTAAACAATGAACTAATAACTTAATTCATTTCCAAAAAAGAAACATGTGCAAAATTTAAGATCTTTATAAATTACTTCATGTATCGCATTTAGATGTTGTTTCTTCATAAGAGCCATTTCAGATTGAAGTGACAATAAAATTGGTGGCGTTTCTTTAGCTGCTTCTTCAGCCTGTTTGAGCTTATTTCTCATAATTTCCAATTCAGCTTCTAGTATTTTACATTGGGTTTTGTTTGCAAATTGACTTTTTAATTGCGCTTCCAACTGTTCTTTGTATCGACGCTCGTCATACAATAACTTTTGAAGTTCCCTAAAGAGAAAAGGAGGTAGTACTAGTTCAAAGATCTCTTTTTGAAGAAAGATATTTTTTAAAGTTGTATCTTTTTGTATATTTACTTTTTCTATATATGTATCACATACTTTAACATTTTAGCGTGATCTGCTTGTTCTTTTTCCTTTTCATGACGTTCCATAATTAATTTACATTTTATATGTTCAACTTCTGAATAATTTGAAGTTTGTGCTTTTCTTAATTTTTCTTTCAAATCTTTGATTATTTTCTCACACTGCAAAGATGCTTACTCATTACAGATGTTCAATAGATAGTAAAGGACATTGTAAACTTACTTCATCTTTCTCGCTTCTCAATTGTTTCTTATCCATTTGAAAATTTGCTTCCATTTTAGATTTCTCTGATGAAAGAGTAGCTAAAGAATTCATTAAAG